GACAAGAGAACGATTTCCATCATTGGAGGCAACCCGATAGTCCTGTTGGCGATGAACATGTCTTACTCTGGGAGCGCGACAACATCGTGTGGGTCCGCGCATCTACGCCTACTACCGAACTCCCTATGGAAGTCACTCCAATTACAGAGGTCTGGGACGATACCGGCATTCTACCACCGACACCTGGTCCTGGAATATTTGTGTCCGATGAAATGCTTACCGTACGAGACGGGAAACTGAGCCCGTTGGCAGTAAAACGTCCACCTACGGTGCTACACAAACCGGAATACATGCAAGCACGTTATGAAACACCTGAAAAGAATACTGTTCAAACACAGAGTATTTTCGATGGAAATGCGCGTATTCTCGGACTTGTTACCAGGACAGGTGGCGGAAACCACGAAGCAGCATCATATCTCCTCGACGGCGGTTGTGCAACTTGTTTAAACCTGCCTGTCGTCGACTTAGCAGAAAAAGCAGAGGAACACTTTCAAAATCGAAACCTATCATCATTCGCACGCTGGAAAACTCGGATGCACCAGTGGGAACAGGTGAAAGAGATACCTATTGACGTGCGGATGGCAACTCCCTTCCAACGTGGGAACGTCTGTGAGGATCCGGAGCGGTGCGAGGCACTTGAGAAAAAGGGAGGAAATCCGAGTGAGAGTATCTGCCCACAGTGCCCAGTCTATACTGAGTGTCAACAACGCGGATATTTATCACAACCCGCAGCATTGCAACGCACTAAAGCACAGATATTGACTATTCCCGAACTGTTTTTCAATCCACAATACGCTGAATTGGTTGAAGAAATCCTTGAGCAGATAGATGAGACAGAGAGACTTGGCATCATCGGCAGGATACAAGCGCATAAGTTATTCTTTGAATGTAAACTACGAGGAAAACTATTGGAGGAATGGATTGTCCACTGGCAAGGGAGTGTCTTAGGAAACTTTGCCAAAGCCTTACAGCATGCAGTAGAAGTCACCGACATACCACATGCCGATGCTGTCAAACGGATCCGCACGGTGATACGATCTTTTGAATGGCAGGCAGAAGCACTCGTCAAGCAGATGTGTCAAAGTGAATGTGCAAGGTAGAGTAGTGGAGCGCAGTACTGTTGATCCTGAAACTAGAGAACTGTTGGCACGCTTTGCCGTTGAGTTTGAGAACGGTGTTGCTGCTTATATCCCTTTGGATGATAATACTGCAGATAGGCTCAAGACAAAGCGGATGCCATTTTTTCGGCTCTCCGGCTTTGCGATCAATGAGGACGTGAAAATCCTGATGCCGATGGCGCAAGCCATCCGTTTGGGCATCTTGAATACAGAGACGGTAGAGAGTATTCAGGCATTCCCGACAGCCTGCCCGGATCCAAACTGGACGTATTGGCATCAGCTCAAGTGTTCTTTGCGCATTACTCGCGGGATGCTGACGCACCAATGCGATGGGGTGGTAAGGTGCTACGGTTCTGGGTGCCTCCTATGCTCCATCCGAGCGTCAAACGTCTGCTGCTAATGTCGGTAACCCTCTCCGAGCGACACATCCGTAGAGCGTTTCCAGATGAGGAAATTGAGGTGCGTCGATCTGAACCGACATCTTGGACCCCGGGAAATCAAGTCTTTCAGATTCGCACAGGCATTTATCCCCAACAAAACAATTTTAGGATATAATAACAACGCGGATGTTATCGGCATCTCTAAAACAGGACGGCGCTTTTTTGCGGGTATCCGCGCCGAAATTGAGAGGGATCCAAGTGTTAAACACGCGATTATCAGTTATAAGTCGGTTGTCGCGCGGTTGGACGATATCGCAGAGAAAGAGAACGTCTCTTTCGTGACCGATTTCAATAGTGTAAGGGGACTCAGTGCTGCTTTTAGAGAGACTCAAGTCTTTTGGATAATCGGAACGCCACAATGGCTGCCAAACCTCGTTTGGCGGCGCGCACAGATTTTGTTTGGAGATGATGAGGAACCCCTCTCTTATGAGGAAGAAATAGAGACCGGTCGTTGTAAAGACGAGCGAATCCAAGACGTTTATGAGCAGGGCGTTGTTCGCGTACTCACACGAACTCTCCAGCGCACCGGATTGGACCGCTGGGCAGACAAGACGGTTGTACTCATCTCAAGTTTGGCACTACCCGACATCACCGACAGACCCGAAACGCTCCTTTTTGACTGGGAAGATTTTGAGATTGCCGGTGGACTCCATAAACTGCCTGAGACGATTGCCACGCGCGAGCGTTTTGAAGCAGAACGTGAGAAGTTAACTGCCGAATCCAGCAGAGAAGAAGTAGAACGGATCTTAGGATGCTCCTCAAGGCAGGCGAACCGAGTGTTGAAGGAATTTAGGGGCGGGGCTCCTTTACGTGTGCCTTTCCGTGAGCAGATCCTCTCGCTGCTTGCTGATGGTGAGAAGAGAACCTCGGAACTCGTCGCAGCTATTGAAGGACATCCAAAAGCAGTAAAAAATGAACTCAAACGTCTTGTAGATACAGGTGAAATTGTGAGAGTACGGTGGGGGATATATACCCTGCCGCCAGCGTAGGCATAATCGTATACGCCAGTGAGAGCCCCAAATCGCCTAACCCGCTGTAACTTCCTTATACCCTTTCGGCAGAGGTTTCCCAGCGACAAGGGCAGATTTTAGTGGACGGACATGTCGGCAGCTACCGCGTGCGTGAAACCTGGACAATCGCACGTTATATCTACACCGACAACCTCCAGCGTGTAAAACTTGCCTTTCTGCGATGAACTCTCGGCGTGGTAGACCTGCCGTTCAGGACCCGCGAGAACTTGCGCTAAAGTACGGATGGCTTCTTCGGAATATGGACGCAGCTGCGCACGCGTCGCTTCGCGGAGATGTGAGGCGTTCTCTTCAAGGTAGGCATCTCCTGCTTTCTGAAGCACCCCATGAAGTTCGGATTCTTCAAGTTCACTGGTTTGGACAGACAAAGCATTCATCATCCGCTTGAGTTCGCTGAGGACATCCAGCTGGAGGGCAGCTTCTCCACCCGGTATCAAAATCGATCCTTCAACTATGGAATCCATCAGTGCTGCTTTTGTTTCTAATACTGTCTTGACGAACGAATCAACGGTTCCAGTCGCAATCATATAGGTGACATTGACAGTCCCTGTCTGACCGATGCGATAGGCGCGATCTTCTGCCTGCCAGTGGTTAGCAGGCACCCAATCTAAGTCGTTAAAGACGACCTGTCGCGCCGCAGTGAGATTTATACCAACGCCTGCTATGTGCATATTGGCTATAAAAATTTTGGTATCGTCATCGTTTTGAAAGCGATCAACCCTGTCCTGTCTCTCATGGGCAGGAACTTCACCGGAAACATAAACCGCTCGGTCCTTAAAATGCTTTTGGAAACGCTGCATCGTATTGAGGAAGGAGGTGAAGATAATTACCTTTTCACCTTGTTCCAGCGCATTTTCCACGAATTTAATGGTGTGACGGCATTTAACAAAAGCAATCGCTCGCCGCACTTGGGTTATTCTACCCATTCCACTTCCTAAATCCGTAGTGTCTATTGAATCATCTAATTCTTCGCGGCGTTCTGATGATAGACCAACGGATTCTGGGGTTCCATCAATGGCTTCTGGTGTGTCAAATTTTGATATGAATTCTTGTACTAATCGATTAAAGTGCTGGATTGCATAGGGGTGCAGTTCAACGTCCATCCATGTTCGCACCTTGGGTGGAAGGTCTAATACCTCATCTTTGTGCGGCGCAGCATGACACCGTGTAGTTGCACAGTCAATTCCTCAAGATTGCTTGCGCCATTTGCTACCAATCCGAAATCTCCTTGATACGCCTCACAATAACGTTTCGCAAAACTGAGGAAACTCTTTCCGAGAGGGTGGTCCAGAATTTGCAACAGCGGAAAAGGTCGCGGGGACGACTTGTCATTGGGGTACCGGTTAACGCATGGACTACAGGGTCACGTTTAATCTCTTTAACCCAGTTTTGATGCGTTTGTTCGGCTCCGCTGACTCTGATAATTTTTTAGGTAATGTGCTTCGTCAAAACAACGCCTTTCCAGTCAAACGCAAGTAGTTTGTCAAGGTTTTTACCAAGAATTTCATAGTTGACAATAATCCAACCACTGTGATCTATAGGTGGGAGCGGTGCGGGACCACGATGGCAGGTTCGGCATTCGGGAAAACGATTTCGATTTCGCGTGCCCAGTTGCGTTTGATAGAAGCGGGACAGATCACAAGATAAGGACCTTCTCCTTCCGCCTCAACCATCGCTATGACCGACTGACGCGTTTTGCCGAGTCCCATATCATCGGCAAGGAGCGCACGACGGCGACCGAGCAGAAAAGCGATACCTTCTACTTGGTGTGGATACAACCCTTTGGCAATTTCCTCAGCACGCGTGAGGCTGGATTTGGGCATGCCGTCTACCTCTTATCTACACCATTTTTGTAGGATGGGTTTGTAACCCCGATCCTGAGTATCTCTATCTGTCAACGAGCCAGAGATCTCCATCACTGACAGTCGCAAGGCGTTTCAACATAACTGCCCCGGGAAAATTGCGGGACATCCCAATCCCCATGGCAAAAATACGTCCATTGTCTGTAGCGTATTGACCGACAAGCGTGAGATCTGGCCCCTCAATAGTGGTAGGAATACCATCGCTGAAGAGGACGACGAGGGTGGGACCAGTCTTAGCGATTTCCGTCAATGCCGTTAGCATATCGTGGTCGGTCCCTTTTATGTTGATCTGGGGTTGGATTTTGGCGAGATAGTCTGCTGATTCACTTACCGCCTTTTCTGTGACGGGAACAAAGCCTTCCTGATAGACCATCAGCTCCGCACTAAATGCAACAATATTAAAACTATCGTGTGGCTCAAGGAAAGTAAGCGAATCCCGCATGAGGTCTATAATCTTCTTGAGTTTGTGCGGAGGTAGGTTTTGCATACTGGTTGACAGATCCACGCAGTAGACAATCCGCTGCGGTCCCTCTTGTGCTTCAATGAACTTCACTAACTACTTTTGTAGCGAGTTTCGACTTTTTCCTGTTTTACAAAAGGGCGTTCGATGACCTTTTGCACACGGGGCACATCGTCAAATTCGACAGATGTTGCGGTAGGTCCAATGGGTTCGACTAAGTCGTTGTTGTCGAACTGCTGGAAGGGCGCGGGTTCCGCTGCAGAAACCACTCCACGGCTGCTGACGGGCGCATTACTCGTGAGGATTTTCAGACGTTGCTGACTGGCATCTCGGGTCTTTTTCTGGACAAGTTGGGCACGTTTCGGCGGCGTTACACGTCTGACTTTCGGCTTCTCTTCTCTGACAAATAGGGCATTAATACTGGAGGCTTCTCGCATCGGAGCCGTACTAAACCAATAGAAGAATCCGAGCACTCCAATACCAAGATGCAATAGAACTGAAATAAGTAACGCTTTACTGGATTTTGATTTCATTGTATTAAGATCTCTCTGATTACGGAACCACTGATGCTCTTCGTTCCCTTTCTTTTTCTGACGATGCTACCTGTTGCTCTACATAGTACTTCAATCGATCCCGAAAATCAGAAAGGCACTCTATACTGAAATCGTCAAAGTCCCCCTTTTTGAGTTTCAAGATATCCGGCTCTTCAGCCGCCAGAAGTTTCGCCGCTTTTACGCGCCTGAGCCTATATTTTTTGAGAAGTGTGAATACTTCAAAGGTCAACTTTGTCCGAAATAACAGTGCCTCGGCTTCTGTCTCAGAAAAGCCGATATCCTTAAACACATTCCCGCTGCTTTTCTCGAATTTCAGATCATTGCACATGAATTGCCTCAATCACTCCTGTCCCGATACCTCGCATCGGTTTGGCTGTTGAGTGCTTCTCTCCAAGTTGAGCGTATATCAACGCTTTGCCGATCGTTTTTCTTGCACCTTTGGGTAATTGCCGAAGCTGCTCACGGGAATCGCCTACCCACATAACCTCTTTCATAAGCGTCTTTCAAGAATCTCTGCGCTTTATAGAACAAATAGCTTATGCTGCATCTTTAAAAAGAAGCAATTGTTCCTCAGGTCGTATCATCGGCGTGCGTTGTTCTAATGCCTGCAACATTTTCTCTGCAATGGCGTGGACTACAGGAATAGCAACACTATTTCCAGTCTGTTTTCTAACTCTGCATCATGTTTCCCTACAATCTTGAAATCTTCGGGAAATCCTTGTAGACGCAGCAATTCTCTACCAGAAGGTCGCCGAATGCCGTTCACCAAAAGATAGTTATAGAGGCACCCGCTCTCAACGCACACGAAAAGGGTAGAACCGAAATGTTGCCTCCCTTGTTTTCGTGCCAGATAGAGGGGAAAAAGGGTGTGCATTTGCACTTTTCAAAGTCGCGACTGTTGGATGCGTTCCGATGCAAATAGATTGGGTTCAACATCTTCGTCAGGCTCCAAAATCTCCGAGAGCGGTTTGTATACGCCAATAGGCTTCGGGAACTCAATGCTATTGGTTCACGAAACCCGATGATGAAAATCCGTTCTCGTTTCTGTGGTAATCCAAAATCCAGAGCGTTCAATACCTTGTGATAGGTGGTATAGCCCAATCGTGACAATTGTGCTTGTATAACCGCGAAGGTTTGCCCTTTATCGTGGGTAAGCAACTGCTTGACATTTTCAAGGAGGAACGCGCTCGGCTGCTTCTGTTTCAAAATCCGAGCGATGTCAAAAAACAGCGTGCCGCGTGTGTCCTCAAAACCCTGCTTATCTCCGATAATGCTGAAAGGTTGGCACGGAAAACCCGCCAATAAAATATCATGGTCCGGGGATCTCTGCCTCGTCAATTTTGGTAATATCACCAGCAGGTATTTCGCCGAAGTTATGCGCGTAGGTCTCCTGAGTGTGTTTATCCCATTCGGAACTAAACACGCACGTTCCACCTAACTTTTCATAAGGAATACGAATCCCGCCTATCCCAGCAAAGAGCTCAATGAAGTTAAAATTGCCCATTATGCATAGAGTATAGCATATCTTGTTGCCTGCATCAAGTTTTATTGAACTTGCTGTGAAGACACATAGGTTTGCACAATGTAGTCCGCATTAAAAAAATCAATTGCTCAAATCAACGCGGCTATAGATGTCCCGCAAGCACAGCGTGCATTCAATTGAATTAAGAGGCATTACATCATTAAGTTCCCGAAATTCGGTCTGCAGCCACTGAGTTTCCCGGCGCAGATAGTGTTGGACCCGGACATGATCTTGGGAAACAAGGATGTATTCTTGCAAAGATAAAAGCTGCTGATAACGCGCGAATTTCTCACCTTTATCATACGCTTCGGTTGAGGGAGAAAGCACCTCTATCATGACAATCGGGTTGAGGAGTGTGTCGAAGGTGTGATCCTCAAAGCGGGGTTTATCACAGACAACGGTAATATCGGGGTAGAAATAAGCGGTCGTAGGACTAGTTTTCACGCGCATATCACCAGTGTAGACAAGACACTTTCCACCTTTCAATTGACCGTGGAGCTCAGCAAAGACATCTCCAGTGATAAGGTTATGCGCGTTGCTTGCCCCGGACATTGCGACTATCTCACCGCTAAGGTACTCATGTTTCGTAATCGCCTTGCGTTCAAATGTAAGGTATTCTTCAGGCGTAAGATAAGTTCTTGCTGCAATAGAAGACATGAGGACCTCCATTATTATTTACGGAAACGTGCCAATTTGGTATCTTAACACTCCCCCGTCAAATCCGCATGCTTTAGCTTGCGGGATGTAGACGGCTTAGGGTTTGTAGTAAAAAATAAACTTGAAATTCGCCTAAAAATGTAGTATCATCCTACACTCCGCACTTGTTTTGACACATTTTGGTATTTTTAGACAAACCCACGTCACGAAAGGATCCAAACAGTATAAATAAAATTTAGAGATGGTAAATAAGATTCATTTCGCACGTATATCTTCTCTGATCCACCTGAAATTGCTTGTTGAACGTTGGAACCACGTGGGTTTAAAAAATAAATACCAAAAATCCGAAATTAGAAGTGCGGAGTATAGGTATCATATATACAACTTGCTGGATAGCATTCTCACCCTGCACGCTTGTGCAGGTGCTATCCTTACCCGTGAGAAGGTATGTGGCGAGTTGCAAGTGAGACCTTGTAAAACATCATTATTAGGTGGCGTTCATGTAAGCCGAAAAGTGAAGTCATATCCCTTACGCCTTGTATCGCCACCCCCTTCTTTATTATGTTAGGCCCGGGTGCACAGGGTATAATACCTGATAAAACCGATCTGATTCGGAATAACGGCCTAATGGTGGAGCGACAGTAAGACGGCGGACTCTCTGAGAAAACCGCAGTCGCTACGAAGCCGAGGTTTCCCCACCCTTTAGGGTGTGGGTGGCATCACTGACTTAGATCAACGCTGCTGTAGATGTCACGCAGGCACAGTTCACATTCAATTGAAGCAAGCAGCATTATATCTTCAAGTTCCCGAAATTCGGTACGCAGCCAATCGGTGCCTTCGCGAAAATAGCGTTTGACACAAACCCGATCTTGAGAGACAAGGACGTATTCTCGCAAGGACGCAAGCTGCTGATAATGCCAGAATTTCTCGCCTCGGTCACGTGCCTCTGTTGATGGAGAAAGCACCTCTACGATGACAGTTGGATTGAGAAGTGTGTCCGATCTGTTATCCTCTGCCTGGGGTTCACCGCAGAAAACGACGACATCCGGATAGAAGTAGGATCCCGTTTCGCTGACCTTGACCCGCATATCACTTGTGGCAGCTTTACACTTCCCGCCTTGCAATTGGGTGCGAAGCTCACCAAAAATGTCTCCGGTGATGAAATTATGTGCGAAACTTGCCCCCGACATCGCGACGATTTCGCCACTGAGGTACTCGTGTTTCGTAAGTGCTTTACGTTCAAAAGCGAGGTATTCTTCAGGTGTCAAATAAGTTCTTGCTGCAATAGATGACATGGGCCCCTCCATAAATTTGCACGCGGGACTTTTCATCTAATCTTCGGGCTGGAGACCGAATCCTTAAACAGCGTACTACGTGTGTCTTCAAATCCTTGCTTATCTCCAATAATGCTGAAGAGTTGGCACGGAAAACCCGCTAATAAAACATCATGGTCCGGGATGTCGGCTTCGTCAATTTTGGTAATGTCACCAGCGGGTGTCTCACCAAAGTTGTGCGTGTAGGTCTGCTGGGCGTGTTTATCCCATTCGGAACTAAACACGCATGTTCCGCCTAACTTTTCAAATGGAATACGAATCCCACCTATGCCAGCAAAGAGGTCGATGAAGTTAAAGTTGTCCATTATGCATAGAGTATAGCATCTGTAATTAGGTATGTCAAGTTGTTATTGTCGTCGTTTTAAGGCAGTTTTCAGCCTGGGAACATCAAAATCAGAAACGATTTTCTTCCACCATTTGCTAAGAATTACTGCATAAGTCCTATAAAGCACACAACACGCAGCGTTTTGTCATCTATATGAATCCGACACTCTCAATCTGTGCGTTCCCAAATAGTAATGCAATCTTGTCGCCCATCCGTAGTAATGTTCCAACCCCGAGCAGCAAGCTTCCTCCCATCGGGACTAAAAGCGATGGACTCTATAACGGAATCTGCTTGTAGGATTCCGAAGTTTTCATAGGTTGTTCCACACCACAATCGAATATTTGTTGACCCAGTGGAACTAGCAAGATGTGTCCCATAAGCTGCCCATGTGAGTGTCTCAATCGGTGATGGCGACACTTTCTGCCCTCCTAATGTCTTTTCCTTTTTCTTCGGATCACCGAAAAGAGTGACTGCGGGCTTACAAGAAACTCTATTCCACAAAACGATATTGCCATCGCCGTGTCCACTAGCAAGTCTACCGCCTGAACAAGCAAGAGCCGTAACACGATTGTTCACATCCCGCTCAATATCCAGCAGTGCCCGTAAACGAGAACCATGCCGTATAGATTGAGGAACGGAAAATTGTACGGTATCATTTTGTAAGATGCGGAAGGATATTAAATTCACAATACCCTTATATCCTCCTACAGCGATAGTCGAGGGATTCACCCATGCCAAAGATGTACAGTAGTGTGTATATTTTCTTAGAACCGAGGATACGAGTAGCGGAGGTATGGTACAAATGTCTTGTGCAGCGAGCACATCCCATAAAACGATTTTTCCCCCCTTGATTCCGATGGCAAGAATATGACGATTCCGATCAGGACTAAAGGCTAAATCGAAAATTCCTACTATGACCTCTCTTGAAGGTTTCCGTTCACACACCCGTTTCCCGGTGTCTATATTTCGGATATGGATGCCATAATTTCCGTCAATATAGGCAAAGATACTGGAAGCATGCAACATCGCAACAACATTATAACAAAAACGCCCGAGTTCCTGTTCCCAGAGTTTAGTTCCTGTTTTAACATTCCATGCTATGAGCCCCGGGCTACCGTTGTACCCGGTCCCTCCGCAGATGAGTCTATCATTGTCCACAAATGCCATCTTGACCTTAGGTGAATCAATCGAAGGTCGATCGTAATGGGATTTCCCGATGTATCCTGTCAGTGTCCTTTTTTTTATGTATTCATATCTCATCATAATTCCTTTGAGTTTCAAGATATCGTGCTCTTTAACCGCGAGAGTTTCGCCGCTTCATAAGTTTAACTGTATTTTTTCAGAAGTGTGAATACCTTTATGAACACTGCTCAAATATCATCTTCTCCCCAAATGTGAATTCTATCTGATATGTTTAAGCAATATTAAATATACATTTTACAGTTTTCCAAGTTGAGTTGTTGTGATGCCTGAATTCCCATCAAAGATTGGAATCGTGAAAAAGGTAATCTCTCGAGCCAACCGATAACGGTTTCACAGAGTTGATCGAAACTCTCAAAGAAATAACTCCTGTTGACTTGATCGCGCATCAGATGCCATAAGCGCTCAATGAGATTCAGATGCGGAGAATAAGTCGGCATCGGGACTAAACGCAATCGGTCCTTGTAGCGAATAAGGAAATCGTCTAACTTTGCCGTCGTATGACTTGAAGCGTTATCTCGAACGATAAACAACATCTCATCAGGATACATTGCCATGAGGTTTTGCCAATGCGTTTTCATCTGAAGATGCGTTTGTTGGCATAGATTTCATACAAGCCATCACCTGTCGGATATTCTAAGGAGCCGATGAGATATTTCCGCTGATTCTTGCCGGGTGTGTTGACCTTATATTCACTGCCTTGCTCTCGATAAATGCGTCCGGTCTTCGGACACCAAGACACATTGGCTTCATCAAAGAAAAACAGGCGCGCTGCGTTTTGGCTATGCTCGGGCGGCGGCAGCTCTAAACGCCGAAGTTGGGTATCCGGGACAATCAACTCAGTCGCCTTATGCGTCAATTGTCCCGTCTTGGCAAAGAGGCAAGTTCCTTGAGCTGATGCCGTTTCGTCTGATACTCGGGATCCGGGCTCCCCACACGGAGTTTACTACGACCCGTTCGATAACCTGTCCGCCGTAAAGCGAAATAGATCGCGGGCGGTGTGACAGAAATCTCGTGATACGCCTTGAGATAAGCACTAATGAGGTCAAGCGTCCATTGCCGAGAATCCGTCTGGAGTTTTTCGTATTGATTCGGTGTTTGCTCAAGAAGTCGATGCCAGTCGGATTTGCTAAAGTGCGCGATCTTACCACGACACCCGGGTGGACTCTTGGGCCTCAACGCCTCTAAACCTGAGGTGTTATACTTATGAATATAGCTACGAACACTTTTATCCGAAAGATTGAACATTTTTCCGAGTTGCGGCACCGACATATGCTCGGTGGCAGAGAGTTTGATGATCAGTAAACGTTGATACCATTTGGGTTTCGTTGCTTCACAAAGCGCAGCATCAAGACGCTGAAGTGCTGAGGCATCGTCAAGTTTTGCGTAAATCATGACAAGGAAGGCTCCTTGGGAAGTAGATTTACCCAAAGTATAACTTAAAACCCACTAAATTAGAAATTTATTATTTAATATTGCTTATACCTAAATTTTCGTCTGTTCCTATGGTTTTCATTGCTTTTCTTAGGTTTTTGAAAAATTTTTTATCTGCTGAGATAACATTACAGAATGGCAGATAGTATATATATTGCCAATCTCGTAAATATTTTTTCTCCATCATAAAACCACAAAATCCAGAACACAGAGTTATAAAATAGAAGTAATAACTGTATTTTGCATAGTCGTCTGGGTGGGGCCAATTGGGTCGTATCCATATTCGTTTTTTGGCCATAATGGATCAAATTCGTACACAGCAGATAAACTTTCGATTATTTCTATTATTGATGTTTTCTCTAAACTCATCTTAGTTAATCCAATTACATCTTCTAATTGATTTCCGTATGATGGGTTGAATCCATATTTTTTTCTATATGCTTTGTGCCACTCTCTGGCGCGTTTTTGGATTTCGCCTTTAGGGATATATTTTTTTCCTTCTCTGACTCCATATAAACATATTTCCTTCACTACGTTTTCTAAGTTTCTAGGATTTTCTACCGGAAACATCTCTCTAAATTCCTCAAAATATTCATAATATTCTTCGGCAGATCTGTTTTTCGCCCAGTTTATTAATTCCATTCGATCTTTTTTGTCATAGGGTCTGAAATAAACGAGATTAGAATCTTCTTCTGGTTTTCTAAACATAGAGACACCTAAGTCTTTTTTCATAATTTCGTGAGGTGGACATGGAACCAAATCGGAAAGAGTTAAGATCTCGTTGTGTATTGATGTTATTAAAAATCTATCTATCCTTTCTATATTTTCCATCACTTTAGGGTTTTCAGCCTTTGCACATTCCATAAGAAGAACTTCTGGAAACACAAAAGCATATTTTTCGTTTAACCTATGTATATCTCCAATTGTTACTCGTTCCAAAATGGAGCGATCAAAGATGAAGCATTCCTTTCCTTCACGGATTATACTCCAATCGGTCGCTGCATTCATTTCCATAATGTCCTCCGTTTGTGGTGTTAGTGCGTTCTGTCTACGATCGGTATTCCTCTGACTTTTTTATGTCTATAGTTTGACCGGATGCTTGCATTGTCGTTGAACCTCGTCAAGTTTTACACGGCGAGGTGATTTAATTTTTCTCTTTGCCAATCGTAATTGCATCTAATGAGTATTTCTCTATAAAAAGATATGTCAATCCACAGAGTAATTCTTTTGTATCTGAATATTTATCTGGCATTTGATACTCTACTTGTAAATCATATAAATCTGAAATCTCATTTATAGTGGATTCCGAAAATAAGTTTACATTTTTTGAGATTTATGTTAGAGTTTATGATTATGGCATATTCAACAGATTTACGCAAACGCGTGCTTGATTTCATCACTAACGGTGGCAGTAAAGCCGCCGCTGAACGCACCTTTCGTGTCTCAAGAAGAACGATCTATAACTGGTTAGAGGCAGAAGACCCCTTCGCCTGTGAAAAGCCGGGGCCCAAAGGTCCCCGACACATTGATTACGACGCACTTCAGCAACATGTTGCCGATTTCCCAGATTTCACACTCGCTGAACGCGCCCAACACTTCGGTGCTTCTACACACGGCATCTTCTATGCCTTGTCAAAACTCAATATCACGCGAAAAAAAAACGACAACTTACAAAGAACAGTGTCCGGTGAAACGCCAAGAGTATCTCTCAACCCTTCAGCAAGAGACCGAGCAGCATCGGAAAAAACCGGTTTATATTAGACATTATAACGATTTAAGAAATTGTTGATCAAATTAACTTTTAGTAGATGTATATTTCACGTTGTCGTCTTTTAACGATTGCCGTTTACGAGTTTGTCCACATTTTTGCCATTTTAAGGAAAAATGTGTTTGTAGGATAGCGAAAAAATAGATGAACAAAAGTACACAATTAAACCATTATAATGTCTATTGATGAGAGTGGTTTCAGTGAAACCGATTTCCGTCGGTATGCTTATGCGCCGAAAGGTGTCGGTGTTGAAGCGAAAGTGCCAAGTCATCGGTATAAGACCACAACCTTGATTGCTGCCCGGTTTCAGGGGTGTTTTACTGCGCCTGTGCTTTTCGAGGGCAGTTGCGATGCGGTTGCGTTCAACACTTGGCTTTCGGAGATGTTATGTCCTTTGCTTGACGACAGTCATGTTGTGATTATGGATAATGCTTCTTTCCATAAAGGTTCAGAGACGGAGGCATTGATCCGGGGTAGTGGTGCGAGTTTGTTGTTTTTACCCCCATATTCCCCGGAGTTGAATCCGATTGAGAAGGATTTCGCCAACATCAAGCGGATACGTCAATACAACGCTGAGA